ATTCTGGTCTATCCCTCCCCCTCTCAAGCACAAAAGCTCAAACAAATACAATACATTTTTTATGTAGGCAATCGATTCAGACTAGTCATAAATACTACTTTACAATTTTTTAATAATTGCACTTTTCAAGTCACCGTGTATATTAATTATTAGAATTTGAATGATATGCATGATGGTAGTCAGGAAAATTACCGTAAATAACCAATAAAACCACTAAAAATTTAGATTTTTCATCAAGAAATACATAGAAACTAAATGATATCCATAAAAAAATAACTTCAAAATTTAGTCAATCACCCATGGGTACATTAATTGTCGTCTCTGGAACTCCTTGGGTAAATGTCTTCATAACATCGTAATTGAAATTATTTTTTTCTAAATGTTTGATTCGTTGATATTATAACATACAAAGTGAATTGCTCAACTCAAAGTACCTGATTGTGAAAAATGTTCTGAGAATAATTGGTTATCTTGCGATCTATGATCACGAACATAATTGTTTTTTGTGAATAAAATATTTCCATTTACATATTCTCATCAATTCAATTCAAATCGGTTCTAGGTATTGGGGAGTGTTATAGAGAATATATTATATTTTCTCAGAATTAGTTATCTCGAGGTTTTTCCAATACTTCACAGATATAATCCAATATTTCGTGGTATTAGGAAAGTCGATATTAGTTGTTGTCTGTTCGATATCTGATTAATGTTATTTTTGAACTTTGTTTTTATTCGGCATTTTCAAAATTCGATAAATATCAACTGTTGTGTTGAACATAAAAATAGAAGGTGTACCATTTAAATGAATCATCAATCATCTAGCCTAGCGTATCCTGTAGAGATCGAATTTCTTTTCGTAGATCTATAAGATATTGAACTACTACCCCAAAAATATTCACTCAATCTCTCAATGCAATTAAGCCACATAGAGCTTTTCCACACTACGGTACATAACATATTGAAACAATCCAACAAAGGAAGAATGGAATGCTCGAAGTCATCTCCACAAATTTGAATGGTGTTATATAATCATAAGGGACATGTTTCGGTCTTACAAAAGACCATCTTCAGCCTAATTGAAAGTTCTACAATACAAAGTATAGATTGAAGTGAAGTATTTTGTACATCATCAAGTGGTGTGGGTTGGACATATGTAGCATTCTGGAACCATCATTGCTATCCTGTCCAGATGGGACAATTTGTGCACATCTGTGCCAAGGATGGGACATTTTGCTGATATCTGATGTCTAGGTGGCCAAGGACTGGTCAACGAGGCTCTGGCAAGCTAATCACAGACAACGAGGCTCTGGCAACCTATTGACAAACCTTAGGTTTAGCCATGGGTAGCAATCTCTCTTCTCTCTTATCTGAAAATTGTCTACATGATTTAGAAAGCGATCTTCAACACTTCCCCGTTTTTCATAAAATGAACTTTTGGTACAGATATGTAAATGATCCTTCCTTTTTGATGGTACTGTACAAGAGCTGAACTTGCTCTTGGAATTTTTGAATTCACTTCATCCTGCCATTACCTTCACGATGGAATATGCCATCTCTCATCGAGTTTTCTATCAGGCAGATCGCTTCACGTGGTGGTGGACGGTGTATCGTCTGATACCATTGGCATCAATTCCGGCGTTCCACAAGGAACAATTCTGGCATCAACGTTATTCCTTCTTCATGTCAATGATCTGTTGGTGGGAGTAACAACTTGCCCCATCCACAACTTTGCAGATGATAGTACCCTCGATACTGCGTTCTCTTCCAGAATTCCCATTTCTTCCCAGGAACTTAGAACTCACGGCGCATTCAGGTCAATGCTGTCAATGAAGACCTTTGTGAAATCACAGCCCGGGGAACCAACAACCTAGTTGAATTCAACGCCACCAAAACTCAAGCCTGAATTTTCTCCAGAAAGGCGGAACTCAGTATGCCCGATATTGTAATATCTGGCACCACCATCCCCACCAAGCCCACCATATCTATGCTCGGTATTTCCATCAGCAACACTTTCTCATGGGATAATCATGTCAGATCCATAGCAAAAGCTGCTTCACAAAAACTCGGATACTTGTTCCGTGCGAAAAGCTACGTTACACCTCAACAGCTTCTCATGATCTACAAAGCGCAGATATGGCCTATTCTAGAATACTGTTCTCACATATCGGGTTCAGCACCAAAACATACGCTGATGCTTTTAGATTTCATCCAGAGAAGAGCCATTCGCCTGGTGGGTGACGCCACACTCATTCACTCTTTGACACCATTGGAACACCGTAGAAAGGTCGGCGACCTTTCACTTTTCTATCGATACTTCCACGGGAAATGTTCTTCGGAAATCTCTGCTATTATTCCTTCACTAGCAATACCAGTCAGACGAACTAGACAAGCCTAGTCAGCATATCCTTTCGTTGTCAACCTCGAAAGATGTCGAACAGCACTTTATCAAAACTCCTTCATACATAGAACGGCTAGGCTCTGGAATTCATTGCCTGAGGAAGTATTCCCAACAACATATAATCTTCAGAAGTTCAAAAAAAATCCTCCTGTCCCTATATCCTCCCTAGGAACGCACGATGTTCTTTGAACATTATAGCGATTTCCTTTCGTGCGCTCCAAGCGATGAAAAAAAATATTAAAAAAAATCAATAACTCTCTCCCTTTCTTGGACTGTTGCCATCCTATTTTTCATTAACTAGCAGCCTTTGATTCTCTAATCCAAAGATTATGCAATATGCCGTTGACTACAATTTCAACTTCAATACTGAATGGAATATAATCAAGCAGATTGCCGTTAACAATGGGTACCCTCTGTACCTCATTGACAAAATCTTCAACAAATATTTTACTGAATTTTTCAATCAAGGTCTCATTCCACTCAATCTAATAATAGAAAGTTTAATACGATCTGAATAACATTTCACAACGTTCTAACGATAATATCAACGTTTCATTTTGTCATTAAATGTTCTGCGTGGCATTAGGAATCAAGAAAAGGCATATCGATAAATCCAAGCTACTAAACATATACTTACTGAAGATGGACAACATATGGCAGAGTGTTATAATATCAGAATCATAGGAACGGAAGATAACAACCAAAAAAGAAAAATCAAGGAATCCGCTTGCATTCTTTTGAACGGAGACAATAGCATTGCTTCCTGTTCAGTTGATATAGATAGAACATGGTATTCACTACTGAAAACTGAACATGAAAATGGTAAATTCAAGATCAATTAACGAAAACCTCCTGTAACTCATTTGTAGACTAAAATCACTCTTTCATATGCCAACGTCAGTATGACACTGAGAAGTGTCAAACTATAATCAGAGCACAACTTCCAGAGAAAAATATTTTTCAATTTCATGTTGAGAACGGAAGCAGATTCGTTCCCGGAACGTCCAAAGATTAGTAAAAATTCGATATTTTATCGATACATCTATATTTCTTTCCTTCAAACATTTTTTCAAACAAAGTGTCACTGACAATTTACTGGATTTTTCTTTCAGGCTCCCTGATAAAAAAATGTGTTGAACGCAGTGACATTTTGGGGCAAATCATCTGATTTGTCCCACTACAAATATATTGAGAAAATACGCATATTTTTATTTTATAGAAACGAGGAGAGAAAATCTCGAAAAATCATGTAAAATGAATATACCACCTCCTCGATCAACCTACAGACAGTATATAACCTTGATATCTTCCTTCCAGTAAATTAAATGAAAAATGCCGGGCAAGAAATGGCGAATTTTGTAAGAATAGTGGTGATACCAGACATTCTCATATCAAGAATACTATGTTCCGCTATTTTTGATCAAATATGGATTTGATTTTTAGTGGTGTTGAGGTTGTTGGTTTTCCGAGATATAATTTTAGGAAAATCTTCATTGATAGCTTCTGATGCTCTTCAGAAATATCAATAATTGGTCCTCCCTTGGCAGTCCCCGCGAGATTAACCCGTCGAGTTGAGGCTTCGCACCCCTTCGTGGTCACTTTGGTGACCTGCCGAACATCTCTTTCCAAAGACTCGTTCATTAACGCCAAGGGAGGTGTTCATCGAGGCCTATAACCTCCACAAATTTAAGACGAATACTAATTCCTACCTTATTTCCCTTGGTCCTCACGATGTTCTCTGAATATTACAGGAAATCCCTTTTCATGGAAACCAGAACATAAAAAAAAACATTAAAATGAAAACCTCACTTGGTACTTGAAAGGTAGATCTCTTCGCTCTTGTGATACAAAAGTCTCATTTGAATAAATAAATAAAAACACCATACTCTCTATACTGCTTTCTCTTTCAGAATTTCAATTTTATTCCAGGAAACTGAGAACCAGAGCCAGATCGCCAGAGAAGTGAGTGAGTTTGTGAGCGAGACATCACCCACGAGACGAATTGCACTTTTTTGGACATAATCCAACAGTTTCAGGGTATGTTTGGGTGGTGCACTCCAAATATATGAGCAGTATTCCAGGACAGATCGATTGCACTTTTAGCAATTCATCCAACGTGATTTTCTCAAGAAAGGTCATTGCTGATAGTTATACCAAGCATCGAAATGGATGTCTTTAAAGGTATGGTTACTCCTGACAAGCTTATGTTGGGCATAGTGAGATCGGCTTTTCTAGAAATTCTAGAAATTCTTGAAATCTACCAAGTTATTGGATCCTTATTCGAGAATTGTTGCCAAGTCCATATTCATGTTGTCAACATTTCTCCCTCGTTCGTTTCTGATTTGCATGGCTGGTATTGGAGCTCTGGAAGAGAAGGCATGGAGAGTACTATCATCCGCGAAGCTGTGAACTGGACATGAAGTTGCTTCCAACAAATCGTTGATATGGAGTAGAAATACTGTTGGGGCTAGAATTGATCCTTGCGGAACACCAGCATTTATGATGAGAGAGTCGGATGAAACTCCGTCGACCACTACATGGAGAGATGATTTCAGAAAAACATAATCTCTCCATATTAATGAAATAATGAAACGGTGTGTTTGCAGTAGATAACTGAAATATATTACTTAACTTAATTTCATAAAATGGTAGAACGTCTATATACCTAGTAACAAATTCAGACCATTATTGTAGTACAGTCGTTAACATATTACAAAACTGGATACGTTGGCTCATATGCTATTCCACATTGATCCTTATTCCTAGACATCAAGATGTAACCATCTTGTCCCCAATCGGTTCCCCAAGAATTCTTCACGATCCAATAGTCATTTCCGTTCAAAGTACCATATCCAACAGCCAGAACCCCATGGTTTCTATCCTCGTTGTTGCAAGTCGTGTCATCCATAACACCTACAAAAACAGATGATAATCATTAAGTTAGTATCTAAAAATAGTATAAAAAACAGCACGTTGAGAATAATAGTGTGACAACTCGAAAAAGTTGATTTCTGAGTTAGAACAACCGTCGGATAGCAAATTTCGAGCTCTACACTTCTAGAATATTGTGACATCTCTAGGTCCAATAGCTGCTGCGTGACATCGCTGGTCACGTTATTGCACTAGAGGAGAAGTAGGTAAGACAGCCGAGCAAGAAAGTGACTTTCTGCAATGTCACCTAAACTTTGCAGGATACGCCTTGTATTCTGACTCTGAGGAAATTTGTATGATAAATAATGTGACAAGACATTAAGTCACATTTATGTTCAAACACAATTCGAAATTTTTTGAGTTATCACGTTATTACATTTTCATCTTTATATTAAATAATGAATTAAATGCAACGAATTTTTGAGTTGTAATGTTGTACAATATGGAATATTTCGGTTTGTCACATTATTGCATGCGTTGCACTTAATGAAATGGAGTAGGTAATACGAACTTTTGCAGAAAGATTGAAATAAACAAGAAGATAGCTCTAAAAAATGAAAAGAACAAATACAAAACTAGAATGATACTTTCGAATGTATGTGATTAAAATATTTCTATCTGCATGAAATATCAAGCTCCACCTTATGTTTAAATTCCAATTTTGAAAAATATATGATAATTCCTTCGGATTGAACATTTGGAAAAATGTGTGCTTGAAAGAATTCCCAAGTATTGATTCAAATTAGGATTTCATTCATTATAGTTATTTCCTTCTTTCAGAAAAATTAACCTAAACCTTATTCCTGCCTATATTCATCTCTCTACCCAAACCATGACATTTCAACTTTATGCGAATTTCTAATGAAACTTATTGCTATTCAACTCAAAATTTGTCTTATGCAAATACCCCTTAGTTTCTATTCAGGAACTAGAGAAAATAGAAGAACTGCCATAGAGGAATGTTCAGCAACTAAACGGCACGATTTGGATTTTGCTGAAATGATAGGAACTCAGATCACATCTTGAATAAATTCAGTCATAACATGGTGTCTACAAATGAAGAAAAATATCTATAATACATATTATACGGCGCTTTTTTGAGAAGTAACATATCAAAAAATTGCTGCTTTTCAGGCGTGACATCTCTAAAAATTGTCGAATATGTTGAATCAAAACTGCAACATGTCGAAACTTTTTCTTTTCTTTAAAAATTTAAAAAAATATCCGAAAATATCATAACTGAAACTTTCCCATGTGATCTTATGACATAATAAAATAATTTGAACTTAATATACTTTCAGCGGTGATTAGGGTTCACCAGAAACGAATTCAGAAGTGAAAATTTTCAAAGTCGATTTTCTCAAAACGAAGAATTCTGAATTATCACACTAACGTGCGAAATATTATTATCTTTCGGAGAAGATAGTAATAAGTAAATCGGATATTTTGTAAGCACACTATGTTAGGAGCAAACAAAGCTCTGAATGGCCCAGAACACTTCTGTAGAATTCTAAAGCTATACAAAAACCTTGTATCGAATCATGGATGCAAACCAAATCTCAGGAATGGTAGAACAACTCATGAATGAGACAGGCAAAAGAGTTTATTAAAAACCATCGCCAACATTCACAGAATATCTACTGAGCCAGAAACGAAGTTCAATTAAAATACTAGTGGGACTTCTCACAGGGCATTGTAGGCTCAACAAACACATGAGTACGATAGGTCTGACTGAAGAACTGCTGTGCAGGTTCTGTCAGGAAGAGGATGAAACAGCAGTACACATACTTTGCCACTGTGAGGGCTTGTTAAGACTAAGGTTCCTTACGCTGGGTAAGGAAAAACCAGGAGCCCAAAGGGGATCTGAAAGCTAGCCTATGGAGTCTCATAGAGAATGCGGGGCTAGCCGAAGAACTCTAATCGATTTTGAGGGCAGACACAATAGATCCGAAAAGGTCGCGGTGTGGAGGCAGATATAGCCCGAAGGTCCCATTCTAAATCTAATCTAATAGAGTATCAAATCATACTAACCAGAGTCGTAGAAACGGAAGGTATCTGTCGCATCGATACCAACAGAGATTGGTCCTACAGTTGCCACAGCCTTCTTCAGTTCATTTTCATCTCCTGTCTTCACCGACTTGTAGGAGGAAATCTTGACAGCGACTTCCGATTTCTTGTACTGACAAAACTGGTCTCTCGCCTTGTAGGGATAAGCATTTTCCAACATGAGGCCATAGTCTGCTACATACTGCAGACCTTTGTCCATGTAGCCTCCGTTACAGCCTTCGGAAAGGTATTTACCATTGGCACAATCTACCAATTGTTGTTCGCTGAAGGAGAGCAATTTCCCTTTTTTGATGAAGTATTGACCTTCGACTGTTCCGGTCTGCATGAGCAAAATAACATAATTTATATAAGTATACAGTGAATTATGCGCAAAAATTCAAGGGAATGATTCTGCATGGGAAAACAAGAAATTTATTTTATATACAGGGTGATTCACATAAGAACCGACATAGAGCAGGGGCATGTAGGAGGTCCCAAAATATGGCAATTTAACGCAACTTACCTCTATACCAAGTTGCTTCCCTAAGGAGTTATAGGCTTTGAAAGTGAAGTTATAAATTTTGAAAAAAAGCAATATCTTCGCTATTCTTGAATTTAAAGCAACCAAAGTTGGTACACTTTGTGGATGTATTCAAGGCGTTACTTGACAGTAACTAGAGCTTAATTGAAATTTGTAAAGGGGGTATACCAGGTGGCGCACCATTAATATTCAACGGAATTTTGTTAAGCCTCGATGGATTTCAAAAATATTTGCTTTGTTGTGTGGGCAATTCAATTCTTAAACTCTTCTTAGTCTAGTAATTTTTCGAAAAACCTCATCATTCTCATCAAAAACTCGAATAACTGAAAACGCGAGCTCTAGGTGTGTTATTTAAAATCATCGAAAATTCAAAAGTTGGCTATGAAAATAAACGTACAACAAGAAAATTGTGATCAGTAGAAATTGGCTGAAAAATTATCATTTAGATAGGTACGTAACAAAATACATAAAGTAAGGACAGATACTGAAATGTGAAAAACTGGGATTAACAACTAATCAAAATAAACACAGAAAACGTAAACTACAAGCAGAACAAACAATTGTTTATCGATAAAATACTTGATTGAATAACTCACTTGCTTCATTGTCAAGTTTGACGTTCATTTTCATAGCCAACTTTTGAATTTTCGATGATTTTAAATAACACACCTATAGCACGCGTTTTCAGTTATTCGAGTTTTTGATGAAAATGATGAGGTTTTTCGAGAAATTACTAGACTAAAAAAAGAAAAAAAGTTTTAGAATTGAATTGCCCACAAAACAAAGCAAAGATTTTTGAAATCTATCAAGGGTTAACAAAATTCTGTTGAATATTGTTACGATTTTACTCTGGGTCCGTAATAATTTAACACTCGGTAGAACACTTAAAACGATTTATTCTGAACACTACTATACAATAATAACAATACTCGTACTAAACACTTCCGATTCACAACACTTCTTCGATCGTTATTATAACGCTTCCAAATAAAGACTTTTTTTCCTGTCCCTAACAACAACTATTTATACTACCTAATAAAACGTCTAGATTCCACTCGAAATATCGTGAACAGGTCGATAATCTTCTCGAGTCATCTCAATAGCCGTCGAATCACCTAATTACTATTCCAAGAAATATGGCTTGTTTACATTCCGCTCCCGCAGGTAGCTGGGATCGATTGCCAGGGTCGTAACATTTACCCCCTTCTTCAAATTTGATCGTCCCGATCAAAAACAGAACTTTCCTCACCATGATAAGGCTTCAGTCTTTCAAGATGAACGACTTTCATCTTTGTCCTAGGGCTGCGTTGGATTCTGTAGACCACATCGTTGATCCTTTTCAACACCGTATACGGTCCTTCCCAAGATGGTGTTAATTTGGGTGATACGCCTTTCTTCCGTCGAGGATTATACAGCCAAACTCGATCTCCTTCGAAGAATCCCTCTGAATTGGCTTTGAGATCGTACCGTGCCTTCATTTTGTCACTTGCTAATTTCAATCTTTTCCGAGCAGTCTCATGAGTTTTCATCAAGCCATTCCGGAGCTCATCTGCGTAGTCTTGTACTTCTTTTTCTTCAACACTTGGTGAACCGAACACCAAGTCACAAGGTAAGCGGAGTTCTCTTCCAAAGACTATACTAGCTGGAGTTAGCTTCGTTGAATCATGGACAGCTGCTCTATACGCCATCAGGAATAAGGGAAGATGCCTGTCCCAGTCCCTCTGATGCTCTTCGACTACTTTGGAAAGATGTTCTTCCATAGTTCGGTTGAATCTTTCGACCATGCCATCGGATTGTGGATGTAGTGGAGTTGTTCTCGTCTTACTGATTCCCATTAGATCACAGACCTTTTTGAATAAGTTCGACTCAAAATTTCTCCCTTGATCAGAATGTAATTCCATTGGTACTCCGAACCGTGAAAACATGTTGTCGACCAATATCCTGGCAACTGTGGAGGCTTCTTGGTTTGGCATGCCGTATGCTTCTACCCACTTACTGAAGTAGTCCATAGCAACCAAGATGTATTTATTTCCATCATCAGTCAAAGGGAATGGTCCGGCTACATCGATGGCGATCCTTTCAAACGGTGCACCCACATTGTATTGCTTCATTCCAGCTCTTGATCTCGTTCTGGGACCTTTACTGGCTTCGCATACAGGACATCTTCTACACCAACTTTCCACGTCGTCACGACATTGAACCCAGTAAAATCTTTCTCGAATTTTACTCAATGTCTTGTTAACTCCAAAATGTCCACCAGATTTTCCGCCATGGACTTCTTCCAGAACTTCATTAACTCTGATGTGGGGCACAACCAGCTGAGAAATTGTTGATCTACCATCAGCTGATTCCCAAACTCGCTTCAATAATCCATTCTCCACAACTAGTGAGTCCCATTGTGCCCACATCGCCTTGAAAGCAGGCCCTCTATCCGAGATATCCTTCCATGTCGGTCTTTCTGTTCCTCCTTCTTTCCAACGTAGAAAATCGGCGATATTCGGATCGTTCTCCTGATCTCGTCTCATGTGTGCTGCTGTCCACTTATCATCGGTCACAAGTCCGGTTTTTCTAACATCAGCGGTTCCTTCTCGATGTTCAATGCGCAGACAATGCTTACAGGTTTCCGAACAAGGTCTTCTGGACATGGCATCTGCATTCTGGTGTAATTTTCCTGGGCGATGCTTAATCTTGAAGTGATACTGGTTCAGCTTTTCCAGCCATCTTGCTATTTGACCTTCAGGATTCTTCATCTCCATCAGCCACCTCAAAGCTGCATGATCCGTTCTAATGAGAAATTCTCTCCCGTATAAGTATTTGTGGAAATGGTCAACAGCCTTAACAATTGCCAGCAGTTCTTTCCTGGTGACACAATAATTCCTTTCTGGTTTGGCCATCACTTTGCTGTAGTATTCTATAACCTTTCCTTGACCATCCTGTACTTGTGATAGCACGGCTCCAATTCCGATGTTACTCGCGTCTGTGTCCAAAATAAACAAGCCTCTCTCTTGTGGGAACCCCAAAATAGGACTCGAACAGAGGCCAGCCTTCAATTTCTTGATTTCTCACATTCTACAGACCAGTTGAAGTTGACTCGATCTTCTGTCAATCTATGGAGTGGTGCCGCAATATCAGCAAATCCTTCCACAAAACGACGGTAGTAAGTGCACAATCCCAAGAAACTTCTAACTTCATGTTTGTCCTTCGGTCTTGGCCAGTCTCGAATGGCTTGAATCTTTATCTCGTCAGTTTGTATTCCTTCTGACGTTACCGTGTGGCCCAAGAAATCTACTCGTTTCTGGAATAGTGAACATTTCTTCAGGTTCAGTTTGAGGTTGGCATTCCTGAATCGCTGGAACACTTCCCGTAAGTTCTTCAGGTGTTCCTCGAAATTCTTTCCCATGACAAAAACATCGTCCAGATATACCAGGCAAGTTTTCCAAGTGAGCCCACGCAGTACCAATTCCATCAGCCTTTCGAAGGTTGCTGGGGCATTACATAGTCCAAAAGGCATCACAGTAAACTGGTACAGTCCATTACCAGTCGTAAAAGCAGTCTTCTCCTTATCTTCTTCGTGAATGCCCACTTGCCAGTATCCGCTCTTCAAGTCCAGTGTCGAAAACCATCGGGAGCCAGCCAATGTAGTCAAAGTGTCATCAATCCTTGGTAACGGGTAGCTATCCTTCTTGGTGACGTCATTGAGCTTCCTATAATCCACACAGAATCTTGTGGATCCATCCTTCTTGGACACTAATACAACCGGTGCAGACCAAGGGCTGGATGATTCTTCAATTACCCCATCCTTCATCATTTTGTCAACCAGCTGTTCCACCTCCTGTTGCTTAGCAAATGGCATTCTTCTTGGTGGTTGCCGAATTGGGTGAGCTTTACCAGTATCTATTCTGTGCTTGACCAAGTTCGTCCGCCCTGTTGATGTTGATTCAAAGATATCACTTTCGTCTGCTATGAATTTCTTGGCAGCTTTATATTCTGTTGGTGATAAGTGGTCCAAGGAGGTTTCCAGAACTTTCAATGCACTGTCATCTCGTTCCCTCCATCTCTGCTCGTTAGTCTTATCACATTTTGCTACCCAACTGACTGGTTCACAAGCTCCGATAATATCTCCTTCCCTTACTGTTATGGTGGTAGGTAAAACATTTGCTACCCTCACAGGAATGTCTCGTTCGGTGGTCACTAAAGCTCGGGCAAGTAACAGCTTGCTGGGGGATTCCTCACATGACTGTACTAATCCAACGCAGCACCCAGGGTTCTCTTCTAATCGCGCATGGATGATCTTCTCAGTGAATCCAGGAATTCTCACAGTCTTCGCTAGTCGTAGCCTCACAGACGTCTCCCTCTCGGCTGGTGTCGTTAGTACAAACTCTTCTCCTCCAAATTTCATGGTCTTCTGATCACTGTCGAATGAAAACCCGTAGTCACTTATCAGATCCATGCCGAGGATAAACTCATCTTCGATATCTGCGACGTATACCATGTTCATTATATGGAGTCTTCCAAGCGTCAACTCAATATCAGCCATCCCTCGTATTGGTGCATTTTCTCCAGTGACCGTACGAAGAACAAAGTTGGAAGTGGTTGGTTTTATACTTCCAGGCCGGAGAATGTCACTGCGTACCAGGGAAACTGATGCACCGGTGTCTATGGTGCAGGTTACATCCATTTGGTTGATTTTTCCTTTGATGGTCAGGCTATCAGTTGTTCTTCTTATCCTTTTGATGTTTATGACCCTGGGGGCTTCGCTATTACTAGCCAGCATGCGCCCCGATACGCTGGCTAGTTCT